AGCGTGGTGAAGGACCAGGAACTCAAGCCCCAGTTCTGTGCCTAGCAAAAGAGTATGTGAAGGAAAGGGGTTTTCTGGGAAGGAGATGTGATTGTAGGGTGCTTCTGAGAAGGCACAGAAGTTTTCTGAGCCTGTTGGGTGTGAGCTGACAGCACTGCTAGAGAGTAAGAAGCGCTGTGGATAAGTAGCTCAGCACTTCAGGAGACCTCAGCATCTCTTGCAGTAGATAAGCTTGATGCAGTTGTAGGCTGGAGACAGCCAGTAAGACAAAGCTGGCTCTGCGTGGAAGGTTGCTTTGTGCAATCCTTGCTCAGCTTCTCTTTGAGGTGCCAAAGCTTCCCAACCAGCTGTGGCATGTATTTTGTGTGCCCAGAGACCTTGGCTTGTTTTGATGCTGTGTCTGTTTTGGAGAACACAAAAAAATGTTGATTGGAGGAGAGGAGTCTGTATTGGGAACTATTTGATTAAATAACCCTAGGCTTCCTCAGCCCTCAATTAGCACAGCAGTGATCAGGCCTCTCTGAGTATCCCTGTGGATTTTAGGTGTGTGGCTCAACCTAAACTCTGATGCTACAGGGTTTGCATCCATAGCAAGGTAAGGAAGTGGGTGCTCTGGTAGCAAGCAGCTCTTTCCGGATGTGTATTTATATCTATATCTGTTGCAAAAGTGTGAGGCACTCCCCCGCCTTCGATGATTAGCAGTGTCTAGCTGATGGTTGGTATAGTACCATGACAGGCTACATTTCTAGCTTAGCAGGAAAGCACGAAACTGCTAAAACCATGTGAATGCTGGCTGCTGCAGCCTGCTGGGTTTGACCCTAGTGTGTCCAACGGCAACTTTGAGCATCGGGGTGTGGTTTAAATCTTTTTTTTTTTTTCCCTTCTTTTTTGCTAACCCTTTTCCACCACTTCAGAAGACTCAAAACCATTTTTCTAGAAACTGGCAGGGTCCAAAGCCAATATTTTGATTATATAAACAGGCTTCTTTCCTTGTGCTTTGCTTCAGTGTAGCACTGTCTTGTTGTCCTGGAAATACTCTAAAAAAGCTAATTTCGGTATTGGTGTAGCTATGTCACAGAAGGCAAACACAAAGCCAAAATGGCCTCTGAGCCACAGAGTATGGCAAGACCTCAAATATAAAAATCCTGCGTAGTAGCAGGTATTCAGGCAAAACTGTTCCTGACTTACCTTTCGAGAGAAAAATTGGCGATAGTTGCTGCCTTTGTATCACAGTCCCCTCCTCCACTTCCTTGGATGCCCTGTAAAAGTTAATTCATTACTGTTTGTAAAGGACTGTGTTTCTCTGCTGCCAAATGCCACTGAGGTAACCTGTGCTTCTGTTGGATCTGCTTGTTTGCTTTCCTTGTTGGCCTTCTTTTGTGACATGGCCTTCTTCAGGGTAGTAATAATAATAATAATAATAAAAAAAAACCCAACAAACAAAGCAACCCTTCAACCACACAAAATGCAAAGCAACAAAAATATAAAGCCTTACCAATGTTGCCTACAAGGAAAACTAGGTTTCCAGTAGCTCACTGGCCTGTGCAAGAGTTGGTTGGTTTTTTTGTTTGGTTTGTTTTCTTTTTTTTCTCATGTCATAGGTTTTCTGAGTCTGAACTGTTGCACAAAAATGCTTTTCACATCCTGATACACTTTTCTGTATTCTGGTAGTTTGTTACAATGCCTGAAATATATTGGGCTGCCACATCCGCTTTGTAAGACATGAGGAGGATCTTCACTCTGACCCTCTCCAAACAGGCAATTAAGTATTGAAACTTTCTGTTCATTTTCTTCCTGCCCCTCCCCATTCTTTTAAAATCCTAAACGCAAGGAAAGCCTCAAGTTTGCTGAAGTGTGGGTGAATGAATGCAGTGACCGACATGGTGCTGAACCCCTCCTGAGACACTTCTGCAAGGAAACAGCCTCCGAACGCGGGCTCTGGGAAGGCTGCCAGTTTCCATTCCCATCGGAGCTGGCGTGTGGGTGGAGAGGAGGCTTGCTGCAGCCACTTCACCTTGCTCGCAAGGCAGCAGAGGGTCTGGCCTGCAGTGGAAAGTCCCGAAAAAATTTCTGTTGGGAGACAGCAGACTTCCTTAGCGTTTTGCTTTGCTCCTACTCGCTCCTCAGGGCTGCTCTGGATGCATATTTGCTTGCAGTTACCCTCCTCCTTGCGCATTGTGTTGCACAAGTGCGTTGGGTCCCTTTCTGCTGGGCTTGTGACAACTGTGTCTGTTCGGGGTGTTCCTGTTGCTTTGCAGCTCCCGCCTGGGGCAGGGCTGGCTGTCCTGCGCTGTGCAGGGTGAGGCTTCCCCTTGATGTGGGTGAAGAGGTTGAGCAACCCAGCCCAGGAGGCTCTGATTCAGCCTTCTCCTCGCTCTTGCTAATTATTGTCACCCTTCTAATTTTCTTGTCCACTCTTTAATTCCCCCCCACACTTAAAATAGAATTTAAAGAGTTGCAGTCCAGCTGTCTTAGCTGCCGTGCTTAGGGTGGACTACATGGGAGACAGAAATGGGCTGGTAGAAATTTAGGAAATTGATGTTTAATTACAATTCTCTTCCTAGAGAGCAGACCCTCTGTGTGATTGGGGTATCTCATACGTGGGACTGAGCCTGTACTGGATTTGCGTCAGCAAAATATGGCTGGGCTTTAATTTTCAGGGCAACGATGGTTGCTTATTGCAATGTAAAAGCTTTATTATGTTTGGATTTTGGGTGCGTGTGCCAATGAATTGGTGGGGTAGGTTATTTAGTGAGGGGATGTAAGGGGTAGTGGGTGGGGAAAGCTGGCACCCTGATCATAATGTTCTCTGTGGGGTCCAGGGAAAATGTGTATGTATTAAAAGAAATTATTCTCTCCTGTGATGCGTTGTGCTTTGTCCTAATAGAGCTAGTTGGTCAATGGAGCACCTCCCAAACATTTCCCACTGCTGGGATGGAAATCCCAACACTGCCTGAAATGAGCGCGGTGTATTAGCAGAGTATAACTCTGTTCATTTTTATCTTCTTGTTTTTAGTTGATCCTAGTTTTTCAAATGTTGCATTTTGAGGTGAAACTCTGTGGAGTTTTACCTTCCTGGGAAGCGGATATGGAAAAACTCAGTCATGTTTGAATGCAGTCAGAAGGGGGAATATGTACTGCCACCGCATGACTTCTTTTATGAAACTTTGTTTTTAAGCTGCAGCAAATTCACAGTAGAAATCAGAAGTTTGGCAGGGAGAAATAAACAGGCTTTCACTTGTTCTGTGTCAGCGCCTACATGTGTGTGGCAGTGGGTCAGTCTGTACTACTTCATTAAAGGAAGATTATTTCCTTGATTAAATAGTAGCTTTTTATACCATATCAGTAGCTGAGGGCTTAAATGGAGTTGCTTTTAACAAACCTGATATGAGGAAATATGAAGGACTGGCACCTGAAAAATAAAGCTGCTTTAAGATGCTCTAGCTGGATGCAGAAGACCCCACCGAACAGTCCTAAAGATGGAATTTCCTTCAAAAGCTAAATTCATCATCTTAAGGGTACACAGCTAATGAAATACATGGCACTGTACCATGACACTGACTGATGAAGGTACACAGTGAACAAGTCTGGGTTTGTTGCTCTTTCTCAGAATCTCATGAATGGGCTGGCATCTACATTTAATTCACTGACTAGTGCGGGGGGGGGGACAGCTGGAGAATGAGGATGGCGGGGTGTGTGTGTGTGTGTATGTTTAAATTACTGGGGTGTGATGCACAAGTTTAATGTTAGCACAAGGCACAGTGAAATTTAAACTGCTCCTCTGGGAGCATGCGTTGGATTGGTGGTAGTGCTGAGAATTGAATTTAGGTCTTAATGTGTTCATGTCTTATTTTCCCACGTTACCATCCTTGTAATGTTTTCTTCCTATGTTATAACATGTGTGAGAATACTTAGTTGCTTTCCTTAGGAAAGGCTTTGTTGGTAAGTGTGAACTTTACAATTAACTGGCAACAAATGTGTTGGCAGTTCCCTTATAATTTTTGTGGCTTCAAAACAAAATTAAGCGTGGGTTCTTGGCAAACTCCAGCTGGCTGAATCGGTGATTTAGGTGATTTGCTGAGAATACTACCACCAGCCGGACACTATGCTGGGGCTTGGAGCCACAGCAACGTGGAGGCAGCTATGGCCTAGATCCTCTGTGTGTGTGTTGGCTTTTTTTAAACACCGTAGCGCTTGCTTGTTTTGAAATACTGTCCTATTTGTTAGTAGCAGTGCCTACAGGCATCTCTGTCATCGAAATGACTGCAAAGAAAGATACCCCTGGGTTGAGCCTTTCCTGCTGCTGGTGCATGTGCTGTTTTGCTCCCGTGTGTCATCATTTTATGTAGAGGCATCCCTTCAAAGGGAGGGAGGGAGTGTCACTGCTCCTTATTCTGTCCTTTGCCTGGGATTTAACAAGCAATACTGAGGTAATCCCTTCTCCTGCAGCCGTACTCCTCAGGCAGCGATCTTATCTTGCTGTGAAAGCTGAAGAGATTGGGCTCTTGTCAGTGCTCGGATGGAAGAGATCTGAGGAGCTGCGAGGTGCGGCTGAAAATGACTCAAAGGGAAAAGCATCCATCCTGAGCTGGTCCCTCCATCTAGTCCAGCCAGCTACAGCAAAACCAGTGCGGTGCTCTGATCTTCAGCCTGGGCAAGGTCTCTGTGTCTCAGCTGCCCTGCTGCTGAGGCGGGCTAAACTCTTGTTCTGTATTTTCCCATATTGCAGGCAGTCTAGTGCTTCAGTTTATGTGCTGCCCTTGTTTAGGGATTTCCTGTCATCCTCCTATTGAGGTGAGGGCAGAGACATTTATCTTGCATCTCAAATGAAATTTCAGGTCCTAGAGAGAGTATTCTGTGTATTGCACAATTCTGTGGGCGTCACAACCCTGTTCCAAATAATGTGGCTATTTCTTTTTTTATTTTATTTTAAGGAAACAAAAGAACTTGTTGCATTTTGGGGGGTTTTGTCTTGTGTGTCTGTTTTTCTTTTTCCCTAGCATCCAGCGAGCTGCACTGGTGGTTCTGGAAAATTACTACAAAGATTTCACAGTCTACAACCCAGCCTTATTAACAGCCTCCAAATCCCGTGCAGCCAAGCACATGGCTGGCCTGAAAGTCTACAATGTTGATGGTAGGTGAGGTGAGATGTAGTCTCTGAGACTGGGTGGGATGGGGAAGGGCTGGGTTGGCTTTATGCTTTGTTATGCACACATTCTCACCTTTTTGCTTTGCCAAATCCTTGTCTCTTGCTGGAAATCTTCCGAACAGTGCTGAGTTTGCCGGTTCCAGATGACTTTACAGATGCGTTTAGCCCACAATAAGGCTTTTATCTTTGCCAGGTGAAATGGACAAGTTTTCGGTCAGGCTTAATTATCATGTGGCTTGACAAGCGCTTTTCAGCACTACTGCTTGTTTTAGGCAGCTTCTGCTTTTTGACACCCTTGGGACATCTCCTTGGTGTTGCGCTAGTACAATAAACACAACTTTTAACTTAAATGAGTTCCTCAGTCGTTTACCGTGCCACTTCCACGGGCAGCCTTCAGGAAAGTGAAGGAGGTTGATACCAAGGTGGGAAGTAGCAGCAGCCTTAGCAGTAAATTAGCTATGCCTGGCTTATGCGTGGCCGTGCTCCCAAGTCATCGTGATGCTAAGCAGGTCATGGAAATTCAGAGACAGATAACTATCCCTCTTGAGCTTTGTCATTCTACAAACCTGTTTCAAACTTTTGGGCTTTAAAGAGGCCTGTGGGAGGATGGATGGATGGATCCCTGTGGACACTCAAAGCTGTGCAAACTGGACTTAATCATTTGGCACTCTTAAACCCTATCAGTGAAAGCTAGGCTTGATAAGCAGGGTGTGCCCAGCCATCACAGCCTTTATAAAAGTGCGTGTTCCTTTTTTTTTTTTAGGGAAGCTTTTATGGTGAAGGATGGATGAAGTCCTGTGACAAGATGTGGTAAGGCACATCCTGCCTGGGAATTCGTTAATATTGAAAGGCTTTGAGAGCTGGAAAGGAGAAGGGACCGAAGGGACTTAGCTGGGCAAGGTGGTTCTGCGTGCAGGGTGTGGAGACCAAAATATGAAGAATATCTGTCACATGGGAAAACATGAGACATGATTGTTTTACCTTCAACAAAGCTTTAGTGCCTTACGGTTTTTTAATTTTTTTTTTTTTTGCATTTTTGGTGACTTCAGAAGTTTCAAAGACCTTATCCTATTGTTGTTTCCCCAAACCTGATGCAGCACTCCTGAGTCTGTAAAATTAATTGGAGGTTTAGATCCTTACAGTGAGATGTCCCCATCCTGATAGAGGAAGAGTGAAGGGAAGCAGGGGGGGAGGGAGAAGGGCAGGCTTGCTCATTGTGTGTCCCCTGCTGCCTGGAGTGAAGAAGATCTCAGGTGGGAGAGAACAAGTTGAGTTGGAGAGGGGAAGCAAACAGACTTGCTCTGCGCTTTTCTAGAGGTGAAATCTTTCATTCCAGCTGTTCACTCTCAATGAGGCCTGGTGTGTGGAAAGTGAGGACTTCCCGATCCCACAGGTGTCTGCACACCATTCAAACCGAATGGCCCGCCAGGCTGGCTGCATACTGCCATTCTGGTTACTAGCTGGCTTGTCTTCTCCTGCGCTGCAGCATCTCTTCAGGAGGTGGCAGGGTCTCTGTTCCTGCAGCACCTGCTGGGACGCTGGGACTCCCAAGCTTGGAGGAAAAGCTGCCAGTCTGGTAGGGTTAGTAGCTTAGGAGCTGCAAGCTCACAAAACTTTGTTGGAAGAGAAGGAACCAGGAGCAAGCTCCAGATGTGGCTGGCAGGCCTTTCCAAGTGTCAAGCTCACGAGCCTGTCAGGGCCTGAAAACTCTTGCCTTCCCTTCTGGGGCAGTACCGGTTCCCTGGGCTGTTCCTTGTGCAGTGCCGCTGCCTTTGCGGATGTGGGGATCTCGGGCTTAGAGGCATGTCCTTAAGAAGATTCCCATCCATTTTACGAAGCAGAGTGTAGTTCTGGCTGCAGCTTACCTTGGCATCCTGACAGTCTCTCACACCCTCCATGTGAAAAGACAGTAATGCTATTAAGGCAGCCTAATTTGTTGGCAGCTTTTCTATTTGATACTGGAGCAGCTAGGAAGGAGAAACATCTTGCTGTAATCTCTCTTATACAGAGTGGGCAGGCTCACCTTCAACACCAGGATTTTCATCGCCAGGCATAGTCAATGAGGCAAATTACAGTTCTAACCCAAATTTGGGAGCTAGTGTCTCCCTTGAGTCATATCCTCCATTTCAGGGCTGTCAAACAAAGTCTGAAGTGTTCAGACTCTTAAGAAGCCGTCTGTGTGAATGCTTGTCCTTCCCGCTGCTGAGCTTCAGGCTTCTGTCTTGGAATCTCTTTTGTGCTTTTTAGGAAAAAATTAAAAAGTTGCCCTTGCATGAGCAGAAAATCTTAAGCATGTCTGTGCAATTGATTGGCCTTAACCACTGCCAGTTGAAAGTGTGGGCTTTCAGAGCAGTTAGTCAGAAAAGCAGCTCTTGGTGGTTTGGAAACTGTCCTAGATT